GTTTGCCGAATTGAGGCTCTAAAAATCTTTTGCTGCTAGAAACATAAATATGAATATTATTTTAGTTAAATAAATCACTACGTAGGCGGCGCCGCGGCCAAAGCTAGTCTGTATAATCTGTAGAAATATTATAAATGTGAAAGTTTGTGAGTATGTATGGATGTTTGTTACTCTTTCACGCTAGAACGGCTAAACGGATCTGGATGAAATTTGGCACAAAGATAGATTATAGTTTGGAGTAATACATAGGCTACTTTTTATCCCGGAATAATAGACAGATATTCCCGAGGGATAGATTTGATTTTGTTGTTCTAGAGGCAAACCCGAGCGAAGTGAGGTTGAGCCGCTAGTTTAATATACATATTTCCTTTACACTTAACCAATCTAGAAATCAATTTCCCGGATTCGTCAAGCTTGCAATGTATGTTAAAATAGGCAACAACGGTCACCGGTTGACTCATAATTTCTCATGCTGTAGGCGTCTACTGAGAAAGGATTTATAAATACCTCAAAAGGTGAGAGGAGGTCGAAGTTTATAACCACTGACCAGGTCCGTTTAACAAGTTGTATTTTGTTTTCATATAAATCTTTAAGTGGAATGGTTAATAACTATAAAAATAACTATAAAATGAAATGCATAGATGATAATTTTACCATCACTAGTCTCTACGTTCAGATTATATTTATATGTCTACTGTTCTTATTCAAATTGCATAATTTTTATATACATGTATATTTTTTAAATCACTTAATGTTATTTTAAATAAAACTATCTTTTCGGATTATTTCGCGGATTTATTTAGATTTTTGTTCCCGACCTTATACACTTGTTACAGACACGCCTTTGAGAGATAACGCGTTTGAGATGTCTATAACCTTAGTCTCTCCCGTGACCATGATTGCTGTAAAGCATTCGAAACGTCAGGAACCAAAAATCAAAATAAATCCGCGAAATAATCCGAAAAGATAGTTTTAAATATTCGTGTAAATCTAAGAAAGTATCACTTAATATTAGTTAAATACTCAAACATATAATGAAATATTGCCTACAATATTTAAATAATTTGTAAATAACATGCGCTCGCATCGCATCGCTCGGCTACTGTGTTACCGATTTTATAATCCGAATATGGCAATCAGATTGTGTTAGAATATCACGTCCGTGGGCGCATATGATGACTCGCTGTAGAAAAATGTATCAAAATATTTTTTTTGACATAAAACTCAGAAATTGATATTTTATTTGTGACATTGACAGATTTAGATAAATTTATATTGCTTTATATGTTTTTTATATTGGTATTTTAAATTTATGAAATATTATGTGAAAATTAAATATTATGATATTTTTTAGACTTTTCAATTTATTATAAAAGGATCCCGTTTAAATGATTTAAAAGAATCTAAAAAAGTAAAAATTAAGTGAAAATACATAAGCATATTATCTACTTCTTTATCCAAACAAATGGTTTAAATAAAAGCATTCAAATCACATTCTCGCAGACCGTATGAGTAGGTATACGATACGATTTATTATATTTTATGAATACCATACAGTACCTAATGTTAATACCTAGCTGTCATTCGAAAATCTCAAAAGCTGTTAGGCACCAATTGCAGTTTTCAAAATTGAATGATGCCTATATTTTGCCTTTTATATGAAGATTTTAACATCTTACACAAGAAATTATTAATTACTAGCGACATACCCTCGCTTCGCTCGGGTTCGTCCCTAGCTTGCTCCCTAATTTATACTTTCATCCCCATTTTCACCCCCTTAAGAGATGATTTCCGGGATAAAAATATCCTATGTCCTTTCCAGGATCTCAAACTATCTTCTTACCAAATTTCATCTAAATCGGTTAGGTAGATCCAGAGATTACCCCCTACAACGTCACAAACTCACAAACTTTACCTCTTTATAATATTAATATAGAAATATAGATAATTAAAATGTCTACCTGCGGTGCCTACAGCGGCAAACTCTCGTTAATAGCACTCGACCTCTGCCCGACGGTGGACCATTAATATAACATTATGCTAACTTTATTAACCTAAAGCTTTTAAATATCCGAAAATTAGTATATTATAGCAAAAAAAGTCATATATACATAGAAATTATTGAAGAACTTCTATTACAAGGCGCATCACGCCATGCTAATGTTATTATGGCCCTCAAAAATCTGCATAAAAATGGGGTTTCACAACTATACTGTAATTGTATCTCGGATGTATCTCAGCTTTTTACACTTTCCAGTCACTGGGTGGTCGCATGAGAAATAAGACCTACATTTTGTTTATTTGTTGAATGACGCGTGTAACATTTGATAAATGTAACAAATAATTGTAGTGACACTTTAATTTAAAGCGACAGTTAATATATGTGTTAAAGTTTAAAAGATTCTTTGGTTGTAGTGTTTATTTTTAGCAAGTATTTTTAATTCTTGCCTGTTTTACTAAAGTTACAGTTAGTTATATTTGGTGAAAAGTAACACATGAAAAATGCTAAATGTTTATGTTTAATAACAATTTTTACAAAAACATGAGTTCAAAAATCACATTAATAATATAAGAGATTATACATGAAATTGCCAATCTATACTAATATTATAAAAAGGTAAAGTTTGTGAGTTTGTCATGTTGTAGGAGGTAATCTCTGGATCTACTAAACCGATTTAGATGAAATTTGGTAAGAAGATAGTTTGAGACCCTGTGAAGGACATAGGATACTTTTTATCTCGTAAATCATCCCTTAAGGGGTCGAAAATGGGTATGAAAGTTTGTATGGGGAATCAATCAAAAATGGGGAGGGACGAACCCGAGCGAAGCTAGGGTGAATCACTAGTTCATTATAAATTAAACCTTATATCCGGTTCATAAAAAAATACCTACATACAAATAAATTATTTTTCCATTTTGAAGTCAGTCAAAACTAAAAACACATTAAATTATGTTGATAAGTTTATAAATGCTTAATTTATACCTTATATTGTTAATTTATGTAAAAAATATGCGAGTTTCGTGTTGATCAGACGCAGCAAGCCTGCACAAGTAGTGGTAACCGATCTGACCATTCAAGGAACACAGATTAACTCAAATAACATATAAAAGGTTCTCCAATCACCGATCTTTTCAGGTTTAAGAAAATATTCATCTTATCGTATCTTTTATGTATATATTGTATAATGTATATATAATATATTGCTAGCCGTTTATGAATTGAAGCGTGATGTTAGAATAGCCTATAACCTGAACTATTAGGCCATAAAAATAAAATGCAAACTTTTCTCTTTCATTAAATTTTACAGCTACTACAACCAATCAAGTGAAAATTTTAAAAACAAATTAATCCAGACACTAAGTAAATAGTAAAAACTTAAAAAAAACCGATGTCTAGACACAAAAATATAAAAAACAACTGAACCTTTTTCGGAAGTTAAAAAAACAATATCTTCATCATTTTAATATTAGCATAGATAACTAACTGATATACTGATTACATTTAACGACTCTCAATTTTAGTTACGACATAATCTAATAACGCCTACCTCTAAATACCCCATCGCGGGTTAATTGATTAAAAATGATAACACTCGGCCAATGATAATAATTATACATGAAATTATACAACGTTTTAATTTAATTCAAACGTCCACTCAATCGCGCCGTTATAACTGTTTTATTTGCGTCACATGAATATTGATTATTTATTCATGTTAATTATGTATACCTATTGAATTAATTATTCATTATTATTATTATATAAATAAACAAAAATATTGAATTGTCAAGTGATGAATTTTAATTATATATCCAAGGAGAAAGATATCATTATACCTACCATACCTTTATGTAGGCAAGGATATTGGTGGAAGCATCCTAGAAAGCTTTCTAACATGATTACCACCTGTCTTACGGTGAAGGAAAATGTCGTGAGGGAACCTGCATGTATGAAAGAACCTAGCAAGTTTTCGAAAGATACTACGACTATGGCCTGGTCTCCCTTATAGCAAAGGGACGTACCAGCAGTGGGACGTTAAAAAAAAGAGCTGAACACAAATTCTAAGGATATAATTCTTTAACTGTTAAATTATAATCCTTACTAATATTATAATAACTCAAAGGCGTGTTTGTTAGGTTAGTTAATGTACTGCAAAGTAACAGAGGCTACTTTTTATCCTAGTTGATATATCTCAAGCCGTTATAAAGGGAGGAGGGAATATACATATACTCGGTTATAAAACGTTACATAAAGGCATTAGTATTTTTAATGTACGAAAATAGATGTAATAGAATAAAACAAAGTCGCTTTGTGCGTCTATCTATTTATGCACAATGTTCTTCTTATAAACTACAAACTTAAAAAAAAGTACTACTTAAAAGTATTTTATGTAGTTATTTATTTAGGAAAAAAGTCCCAAATGAATATAATATCCAGTAAAATGGTGCACCAGTGTTACAATAAACAATACATTTTTCTCTTAAATGCACAAAACACAAAAAGATAATATTCAACACAAAACCACGTGGCGTTAAAAAACTGCAAAATGACACCTCCAAAGCTAAGCACAAGGAAAATCTCCTCGCGGGCGGAGGCAGTAGGCACTACCTGAGTTTTTGTCTGATAACTGGGGTCGGGGCAGTGCGCGGGCGCAGCTCGACTTGGCCGCGCGTCTCGTAGACACATTTGTTGCGCGTTCTGTGCACACTAGCTAGCTATCTGTATTTCACCGTACTTATTTGCATTACAACCTGATATATCATATTTTTCTATAATGTTTTCTCTACATAATCTACATTTATATGTTTCGCTTTGTTTGAGTGATGATTGACAAGGATTCTTGAAAGTTATTTATAGTGTTCGGAACTAAAAAAGTGACAAGTGTTTTCATTTTAATTGTTATGTACTGTTTGTTAAAACTTTAAATTAGTGTAAAACCTTCGATCGTTTTGGATTTTGTTGTGTACATTTATATCAAATCGGTGGAATGTATCTAAAAATGTATATTAAATCAGAGAGATTCTACCAACAACCAGATAATCAACTTAAGGACACCGACAGGTGTTTTTCGGATTACGAAGAAGAGCTAGACGATCGTAAGTTTTATTAAAGCATATTTTATTTAGTTCATTAGATATAATACTTTATTATGAAAGCTACCTCCGTTTGAATAAAGTTTTGTTTATAAAATGTATTTCTTGGATCAAATTGAGAAAAGACAACTATAGCACATTTTTTTTTATCCTAACAATATCCTATTGAAAAAAAAATTTTTTTGTATATTTAATTGAGATAAAGTTAAATAAATGATAATTACTGACAAATACAGCACCTTTTCGGAAACACATATAACATAGCATTTATTTATTGCAATGTTAATTTATACTAATTTTATGAAATTTAAGGAAAATGATAAATTTATTATAGCAATTTATTAAATATTACTTACTTGTATCTATATGTAAATGAAAATAATTGAACTGAATACATTTCAGAGTGCACAATAACAGTCGAGACACGCACACAACTCACGTTGATGTCTTTCGTATAGCCAATAACCGCCGCTACGCTTTCTTTCATACATTTTCATTAATTTAATTTAAACTACATATTTAAAAAAAGTTATCTTCAACTTCCTCGGAAGTATGTAGTTTCAAGACCACGCCGCTCTTAATATGAACCATTTACGAGGTGACTTTTTTTTTTTGTTTTACTTTAAATTAACTATCATCAACTTTTAAGAATATGAAAGTGCGAGGTAACTTGTTAAAACACTGTACTAAGTAAAAATAAGTTTAAACTGCATATATTATAAGATTTTTTTTTACGTCTATACATTTATTATGTTTACATTGTTTTGTGATACACTAGCGACTAACTCTCGTTTCGCTCTGGTGCGTCCCTAGGTGCGTTTTAATATTTCTGAGCGGAACCCTAATACTTATTCTAAAATAAAAGTAGCCTAAGTTACTCCTTATAACATCAACTATCTGCCAGTGAAAGTCCCGACAAAATCAGTTCAGCCGTTTCGGAGATTAGTCGGAACAAACAGATAGGCAAACAAACAATATTTTTAAAAAATATGTTTTTCTTTTAAGTACCATACATAATTTTATACGCATTTAGTAAAAAGCTGTTGTTTTTAAATTACAAACAGACACTTTAATTTTATTTATATGTATAGATGAACATATTATCTTTTACACTATACTCGTATAGGTACTTACTATATAATGGTAATATTTGAAATAAATAGAAAGATGATATTTTTGCAAATAACATGAGTAGGTACTAATAAGTAATAACACAATACTGTTTAACCTATACTTTCACATCTTATCCCAAAGCAGGTAACCTTAAGACCCTGCATAATGGACCCCTTACAAATGGTTAAATCTTGTAAATAGCAAAAAGATTCATTACGACAAAAGCTCGTCGGCACATGAAAGGGATAAGAAGGCCAAGGGATTAGTTCATATGATTTAAGTAACAGTTTCTATTATAATTTCACTACGTTTCGACATAAGTTTTTAAACTGGTTCAAAGTTGTATAAAAATAAGCTTTTCAAATAGTTATCTTAATTTTTTTGCTTTTATGTAAATACCCATGTATGATATGTAAATTAAGTTGCAAATGGTATTGAAACTACAAAGTTTGGACAGCCGTTTGACCAAAAACTAGTGTTGTACACGAACAATAAACAAAATATTTCTAAACTATCATCTGTTTTTAAATTATACCAAGCGCAACTAATTCGAGTATATTATTTTAAATACTCAAATAATGGCAGAGGAAACCAATAACACAACAATTCTGAAACATTCACGTCTCATTGCACACTAAAAACCCGAAACCAAATACACTTCCCACATTGCAACTACTTAAAAAAACCCTACCGCCCTTACTTCATGTCGCCGGTTTTACCCTTGAGCTAATGTCTCGACTTGACAGTACTGAGTTTCACATAAAAACCAATTTAATTTGACCTATTCGAAAACTTAATTTTGTTCTAATATCGACCGTATGCCTTTCACTTACAGAATAGTCCCAAACTAGCAATGGCACACAATAATGTTGTACTTTCATAAAAGCATCCATATTTCTAAGAAAGGACACTCACCCTAAATATTACCTGACCATTGAAAAAAAGTTCAGGTAAATGTTGACCTGTAGTTTTTCTTAATTTCTAAGCAGGAAATCGCAACAATGCCCCATCGGTCATGGTACTAGGCAGGTACGGAATAAGTAAACCCGTAGGATTGTGTGCATGTAAAACCCCATGTTGATAATTGCATTGAATTCGGGATTACGACGTCAAAATGCAGAAGCTTTTTGAAATTTTAACATCGATTTTACCATTTAAATTTTCTACGTCCAGTAACTTCGTTTATATCTCATAAAACTTGTTACAGGTAAAATTGAGTCTTCACTTAAAATTTTAATAACTTGTAAAGTGCTAAAATAACTCGGTATCACCATGCATTCCCCCAATAATATCATATGGGCGATATCGCAGAATTTATATACTAATAAGTAATAATCTTCGGCTATAACGAATTAGTGATTCACCGTTCAAAGTGCAACGAATAAATTCATGCAAGGTCGGGGTCTAGGCCTAGGTCGGGGTCGCCGGGTGAAGAAGGCCGTGGGAGGGTCGCGATGCTAATGTCCGTCGAAGGTTCGGCACTTCTGACATTTAAAGCTTGCGTCTCGTTTTGTTAGGTTTTATTTCTACTGAGTACTTTTGTAGCTAGTTGCAAGACTTTACGTATAATAAGTAGTACTGTGAGATGGATTAATAAGTAACAATGGTTTTTCTATTATGTATGTCAAACTAAATATAATATCTGTTGTTTATGACCATCCATATCTCTACTAGAATCCATATCCATATTAATATTATAAATATGAAAGTTTATGAGGATGGATGGATCGATGTTTGTTACTTTTCACGCCAAACTTTCCATCTATCCAAACTTTCGCATTTATATAGTTGTAAGATTAGATTATTATAATCAACTTACAATTCAATTATTTCATTTTTTTAAAGAAATAACACTAAAAGAATTTCTGCACGTTTGATATATGTACGAGTATGTATGTTTGTAAATGTAGTTTTAAATGACGTTTTCGCCATGTCTCGTATAAGCAGTTAAAATGTATAACAATCGTTAAACCATTTTGTCGGTAACCGATTATTTTACGGAACTTTTTAATAACTAATTGATGGTAAAAATATCGTAAATAACATTTTTATGTGAATGTTTAATGTTTATGAGGAAGAAATTCTGAAATCGCGACAGTAAAATAAAAACCTAACTTTGGCGCCGAGTAAATGTTATCCTTAAATGTGTCAAAAAAGAATAATTGCCGTGCTGTAAAAGTGAAATTTGTATATGACTTAATTTAAAATGGTATTTTTTTTATTTTTCTTAAGAAATACCGCTCTATTTAGAGTAAATTGTTCCATGAGCGACGAAAGACTTTTTCTTTTAAAATATAAAATATTTATACAAAAATTACAATTTTAATATGCTCACGTATGTACTTAATGTATAGAAACCTATTCATGTACGACTTTATAGCTATACCCACTGCTAGGGTCGGATGGCGGGTCACGGGTAATGCTAAATAGCTAATTGCGGATTCAACTCGACCTCTTCTTTAGAAAACGCGCACTTGACTGGAATTTTAAAGGTGTTATGTATTTATGTTTGTATGCCGCTTAGGCCTTTATTCTGATTATAAATATCGGGTAAAGGGAAATCCACAAGGTTATTTGTTTTCTAATTTTCTAGTCGGGATATTCTGTGTATTTACTTGCATACACAATAGTACTGAAGGGCTGAATGCCCCTATTAACGGCCCATTGCTGACCATTACCACGAAGGCAAGTGCAGATTGGCGACCTTCACATGTCTTTCGACAACTTGCTAAGTTCTGTCAGACATGCACGTTTTCTCGCGATGTTTCCCTTCATCATAAGGCGAGTTGTTATCATGTTAATAATGATTAGTATCTACATGAAAAAATTCAATATGCAAGACTTAGGATTTTGAAAACACTTTACTTGGTTTTTCAAGTGCTAGGTACTACCATTAGGCTATCACCGCCTTTTACACAATTGTAACCTGCGCTTAATTTGGGATCCCATGCCTTGAAAAAATGTTTATAATTTTAGACTTAGCTCTTCTTAGGTTACCAGTGTATAAATAAAAACTTATTAAAATATGTCTAGACGTGTTATTACATAAAGAAACAAAACGGACACATTGACAATCAAATAAACAAACATTACCTCTACAGTGAAAACTGGAACTAGGTAGGTACAAATCGAAGTTATTATGACTGTATTGAGTTGGTCAACAACGGAGTGACTCGAATAGGACATTGCCTTTTCAAAACAGCCTTCACTTACAATAAAAAAAGTGGTCATACGTTACATAACTGTTCAATTTATGACTAAATACCAAAGTATTATAACATTTTTCATTACAGATCAGTGTGTACGGAAATACGTTGGTTTGAAATTGTATTGTATCTATCTTAATTTTTTTGATCTATGTAGATATTTTAACACTTGATTCACGATGACTTATATTCGCAATCATAATGCTTAGAAAAGATCTTAGTTGTAAAAGGTGTTGTAACATCGTATTATTTAAAAAATGACAAAAAGAAGGCATAACCGCATCGTATTGTGATTTATTTACAATGTGTCTCTTATATTTGCATCAAATATGAGATTTTGTCATAATTTCTTTAGGTATGCGCCCGGCCCCTTATGGGATGAATTTCAGAAAATGTTAAAATACGTATTTAATGAATTGTATTGAAGAGCGTTAATATACCTAGTTTCAAGTAATTCTGATCAAAAATATTTTTTTGTATTATAACGTGTTTTCCCGTGGGATAGAGATAATTTTCTGCGGTAAAAAGTAGCATATGTTACTCTTCAGCCCTTCAACTATCTCCACACAAAAAATCGCGCCAATCCGCCAAGCCGTTTCGACGTGAAAGAAAAACAAACAAACACACTTTCACATTTATAATATTAGTATGGATATATAAAGTATATAAAATAGGTAACTAGAA